AGCCTTGACTCTGAAGCCCTGAGCACATCTCTTTCCTTCATCAGTTTGTCTAGCGAAAGTAGGACAAACCAACCAGTTTCCTTATACTTCTCGTTCTGACAAAGCTGTAGAAAGATATCACACATGTGTTCACCCTGAGCCTCACCTTTCACCAATACCTGATCTACCGGTGGTGATATTTTGCGTATTTGTATCACCACCTCGCTCCATGGACTAGCAGCGACCTCTTTATTGCTGGAAGCAGAGTCATCAATGTCTTTATGACTAACCAGACTTGAGAACCAATTTAGAAAACTCATCCTTACAATTTTGTTTCTCTAGAACCACTCCCGGTACCAAATGTCTTAGGCTGGGTTCTCTAGAGAAGCAAAACCAGTAAAGTGTATAAATATATATATAGAGAGAGACATTACATCAAGGAAACAGTTCACGTGATTGTAGAGGCTAGAACGACCCAAGTCCGTGGATCAGGGTAGAGGCCTCTCCCAAGTCACACAGCTGCAGAAGCTGGCAAGCCCAAGATCGGCAGGTCAGACAGCAGGCTGCGCAGATCGACGAATCCTAGGTTCGGCAGATAAGCTGACAGCTCAAGTCCCAAGAATGGGAGATGAGACGATAGGAAGCAGCCGCAGGATCCAGAGAGAGCAAAAAGCCAGAACGTCTGCTTATATACAGATGCGGGCCACACCCCCAAGGAGACGCCCTTTCATATGATTGGCTACTCACAGTATATTCAATCATGGGAGTGATTACATTAAAACATTGAGAATCATGGCCCAGCCAAGCTGACACACAATCTTAACCATCACAGTTTTCAAAACTAGGATGAAGGTTTAGGACTTTAGGTATATCATCCACTGTTTCAAGTCAAGTAAATTTCCTAAAAGAAAGCCAAATCTTGTTTTGAGATCAAATTAGCAGGATGAGGCAATGGTGAAGGATATAATTTTGAGAGCATCTTGGAAAGCTATCTGGAAAGCACCTGACCCACCCTCCTTCTGTAGCAGCCGCAATGCATAAGGCTCCTATTGCTCACAGCCCTCCCTTGCCACCACCACGACGTCTTCTGGCTCCTAATAAGTCTAGGAACCCTGCCAAGTCAGTCCCTGTCCCCTCCCATGACAGGGGAGGGTCAGAGGAGAAAATAACGACAGGCATCATGCTGTTTAGTGCCAGGTCCCCTAAATAGCTCCAGGCTGCGGTTGTGGGGTTAGGCTACCGCACAGGCCACTTGAGCATCTGCCCAGTGGCCTCTGGGGTATTCTGTGCCCTTTTCTCGGCTACAAGAGAATTGTGAGTGTATGACTCAGGAGGATTGTGTGTCAAGATCTGCAGGGCCTACCTTTTGGAAGTAGAATGCAAACGTCTTGAGAGCAAGAAGCATGCCTTATACAAATTTTTGTGTGTGCGAGGTACATAGCAACCATCGAGTCGATTCCGACTCATAGAGACCCTATAGGACAGAGTAGAACTGTCCTATAGGGTTCCCAAGGCTGTCATCTTTATAGAAGCAGACTACCACATCTTTCTCCCACGGAGCAGCTGGTGGGTTTGAACCGCCAACCTACTGGTTAGCATCTGAGTGCTTTAACCACTGTGCCACCATGGCTTCTTAAGGTACATAGTAGGTACTCAAATATGGTTTTGGATAATGTATAATCTAAGCCTGACACATGGACTTGGACTGCTGCTTATAAATACTCATTAAGATCAGAAAGTTGAAGTATGGTCTTTAACAATCAAATGCTTCCACTAAAATGTATTTATCGCCCTGAGTCAAATGTTTTTTTCCCTGGAACTGTAGCTAATGGAAGAACAATAGTTGTATCTGTCAAAACTGCGGGGGCAGCATCTGACCTCCTCCAGCTTCACAAGGGGGAAAGAGAATCAAGATCAACAGCCCAAGGCTGATTCCTATGAGGCAGAGGTCAGGCCTGCCTTCTTTCTTTGCCATCTTTACCAATTCTGACACCAACTGTCCCTCCCACGCCACTCTCTACTTCTCTGCTGGGTTTGATAATTCATTGCAATGGCCACACAGAACTCAACAGATCATACTCAAGATTATGGGGTTGATTAGGGAAGTAACAGGTTACAATTCAGGCTCAGGAACACTCAAGGATACAGTTCTTCCATCAGGACAGCCTTTTCCCAGCCATGCTTGCAGGCACGCCTCTCCCTGGCCTAGGCCTCTGCCCAAAGGTGCTCAGCTTTTTCTCTCTGTGGGCCAGGAAGCCCACCATGCTGTTGCCTGCTGCTGGGTCTCTGCTGCTTTCAGTGTTAGAGCTGTCTCTCTCTCTGTCTCTGTCTGTCTGTCTCTGTCTCCTGGTTCTAGGGGCTTTTGGTTTTGGGCACGGGGATCCCAGGTCCAAAGGATGCACTGGCTCCTGGCTGTTCTTCCTTGGTGGTGGTGGGATCCTCTCCTTTCCCGCCTCTGGGGTGGCTCACTTCAAGCCCAGTGGGATGGCAAAACTCACCAATCCGTTTGGTGGGCCACAATTACCCTATCACACAGTCGCACCCAGTCACTTGAGTAGGTGTTATAAGACCATGGCTAGAAAGGCCACACAAAAGTGATCCATCACACTGCAGTATCTTATGCAGTGCATGGTATTTTGTACTGCTGTCTTTTGAGGTAGAAACCAATAGCCAATCAATAAACATTATTCCGTCTTCTCTTCCCAGTACCCCTTCTGTGGCAGGGGCCATTTTAATGCAAGCACTAAAATCCTGAGATTCTAGGGATATTTTTCAGGAAATTAAACTTGGAATTTAGGAGAGTTTACTACCACCTGTCTGTCAGTGGAGGCTTGCATGTTGGCTATGATGCTGAACAGGTTTCAGTGGAGCTTCCAGACTAAGAGTAGGAAGAAAGGCCTGGTGATCTACCTCCAAAAATCAGCTAACAAAAACTCTATGGATCACAAAGGTTCAATTTGTACCTAATCGTGGGGATGGCACAGGATTGGGCAGTATTTCATTTCGTTGTACATGGGGTATCCATGAGTGGGGGGCTGACTCAACAGCAGCTATCAATAACAGCATTCTTTTTTTTAAGGGCATCGTGATAGAAAATACCACTAGTGCAATGGGAATAAGATTTTGTAGAGAAAAATGGTTTAGAGACAGCTTTTCAGGAACATGCATCCCACATAAAGGAAGACAGGCCTTTAATAAATTAAGCTTTGCAGACCGAAAGGGTATAAAACACATGCTCTATTATGCAGCAACCTTTTTCACTAACATTCACGCTTGTCTATTGCTTGTGGCAGAACGAGGTGTTTATTGGGTGTGTTTTTCCCTTCAGTTCACGGATATTGGGACCTTTGAGACGGTGTGGCAAGTCAAGTTCTACAACTACCACAAGCGCGATCACTGCCAGTGGGGAAGCCCCTTCTCTGTCATTGAGTATGAATGCAAGCCCAACGAGACACGGAGTCTCATGTGGGTGAACAAGGAGTCCTTCCTCTGAAGACGAAGGCTCTTTCTGATGATGCTGGACAATCTCTTCAGAAATCTACTTTTAGGTAAACCGGCACAAGCCTTATCCAAGGCACACCACACCATTGCTGTACTGATGACCTACTAGCCCCAATTATTTTGAAAGTGTAATTCCCCTCTGATGCAATGTCCCTGACGTAAGAGATCATGACCCACCATCCCTGAAAAGATTCCTTTCTGTATCTTGTGCTGGTAATCCTGCACCCAGTTGTTCTCAGTCATGCTACTGATCGCTTGACTGGAGCTCAGTGGAAGTGCCAGGATGTCCTACGCTTGATAGTTCCATTGAATGACTATGATATTTTGTTTCCAAGTTGAGTGATTCCCCCTTTTTTGTTAAATGTTAAATAAAATAATAATAATAATGTGTATGGGTTCTCCCAAGTGTAATATGGTAACACGTAACTTGCAATGTCTTCCAACAAGGCAGGCTTTGTGAAAATGTAACCTGAACAGCAGTGAACGGGACTTAAGTGTTGGCTTCCTATAAACAGCTCTGCTTTTTCAGGGAGGGATGATGACAAATGAAAGGACAGATATTTGATAAATAAGTATTTATAACTTATTAAAACTCTTTCAAGTAACTTAAGGTATTCTGCTTATGTCCTAGTGGAAATGGGAAAAATCATTGTTGTGGATCACTGTTGAATAAAGTTTACCCCTCTGGCAAGCTACCACCGTGTTCAAATGTGCATACTGATGGCGTCTCCTACACTCCCCTCCCTTGAACTTTGTAAAACTGTGTATGGAGCTGTAATCAACTTTTGATATTTCTTAATAAAGGCATTGAACAGCATGCCCTGATTGGACTCTTCATCTGGGCAGCAGATATCTAGCAGGTGGATCTCAGCTCCAAGCCAGCTCCACCCAGATCTCTTTATCTACACTGCAGGGTGAGGGAGATGTATTTGAGGTAGTATTAGCACACCTCTTCATAAATCTACCACCTGCCTGACAGTTTGTCATGCTATGGTGGCTTGAGTGTTGTTACAATGCTGGAAGCTATGCCACTGTCGCCCATGTTAGACAGGTTACAGTGGTGCTTCCAGACTAAGCGATACTAGGAAGAAAGGCCTGGGGATCCACTTCTGAAAATTAGCCAGTGAAAACCCTATGGATCACAACAGATAACTATCCAATATAGTGCTGGAAGATGCTAGGTTGGAAGGCACTCAAGATACACAGTGGCCACAACAATGGATTGTAGCATACCAATGATCATGAAGATGGTGCGGGACCAGGCAGCATTTCATTCTGTTATGCGTAAGATCGCCATGAGTCAGCCTAGTCAATGGCACTAACAACAGCATCCATAGATCACTTCTGGCTGTTAACAGGAGTGTTCGGCTGGGATCATCAGGGCTTACCCAGGCATCTAGTGAGCAATCAACAAAAATACTTGCCCCACTCCTCTCTCCATTCCTCTTTCCACAGTGACCGCTCTCTCATCAGCCAGCTCTGTAGCTGAACAGTTGGAGGACGTGGCGCTGTTTAACAGTGCATGTATACCAGGGGTGAGACCTCCTGTGTGCTCCTGGGGCACTTACAAGATACCGGGTGCAAAGCCAGGATGAATTCCCTAAAAAGGAAAGAAACTTCCTTTTGAAAAGTTACTTCCTACTTTGCAACAGTATTGTTAATATTCACTTGGATGGCACAAATCCTCTTGTGTCAGAAAAAACTAGTAAGAAATTGGAGATTATTCTTTTGCTACCTGAAAGCCCTTCATGAAAGAATATGCAAGACTAATGGGAGTATTTAAAAAAGTTGGTTTATTGTAGACTGGATTTGGAAGGTAGGCAAGCAAAACCTTTTCCCCCTCTAGCTTACCTGCAGTGAGGCTGTACCGCCACCAGGGAACAGCAATGCGTGGCTTTGGGTTCATCATAAATGGGGTTAAAAGAGATCAGTATGTTTCTCAATTGCCCTGTTTTTTCAAAAAAAGTAGTGTCTAATACATCTATGGAGCCCTGGTGGTTCAGTGAATAAGAGCTCAGGCTGCTAACCAAAAGGCGGGCAGTTCGAATCCACCAGGCGCTCCTTGGAAACCCTATGGGGAAGTTCTACTCTGTCCTATAGCGTGGCTATGAGTGGGAATCGACTTGACGGCAACGAGTTTGCTTTTCGGTTTTAATACAACTACTAAATATAAGCATTAATACAATTCCTAGTTATTATATTTAAAAACCAGTGCTCAATTATTTAAGCAAACATTGAGCTATTTAGAACAGTGAATTTACCACAGGCAGAGGCTTAGGTTTTCTTCCAGAATATCCAGTAAAAATGCAGCGTGATTACAAGGTGAGGAAATGTGGAAACTATATATTTTAATATTTTAGTCTATTTAAGCATTTGATTAGTAAATATTTTCATTTGTGAAACAAGACGGTTTGAGCCAGTGACTCATCTATTAGAGCTTTAGCATTTATGAAGGGTGGAAGCAGTGTCATAGGGCTTTTGCCCATGTTGTTGTTTTCTAATGAGGCTTCATTCTCGAGTTTAAAATACTTCAAAGCAGGGCTGGGACATAACTGTGCACACACCCTCCCACAGAGCATTGGGGAGATGAGCCCTGGACAAGAAATGAGAGCATCTGAGGCCCACTAACACTTCACCTTCCTATACCTTGGTTTTCTCATCTCTAATACAAGGTGTTAAAAAGACAGTCACCATGGAGACAACCCTGATTCATGGTGACCTCATGTGTTTCAGAGTAGAACTGTGCTCCACAGGGTTTTCCATGGCTGATTTTTTGGAAGTAGATCACCAGGCCTTTCTTCCAAGGCACTTCTGGGTAGATTTGTATGTCCAAACTTTCGGTTAGCAGCTGAGTGCATTAACCATTTGCACCACCCAGGGACTCCAAAACAAGGAGTTAGACTAGTTGAATTCTAAAGTCCTGTAGGATTTACGATCTGTACCTCCAGTCTATACTCCTTTAAAAAAAAAAAAAAAAACAACTACGTGTGGGTGTGTTTTCCTTGGGCTAGAAGTGAGGGTGAGTCCAGGGAGGTGGAGAGGAGATGAAGTAAACAGGAAATCTTAACAGCTAATCTGCCATGTTAAGCGATCTCTCCTGGCATATACTGATGTATTTAGGACTGGACTCAAGCCCAGTCTCTCTGGCTATTTCTCATAGCTCTCCTCCTCCTCCAAAATTTGAATGCTCAGCTATATCAAGCTGCTGAGTTGAAACTTTGCCCCTCAGCCATCTGGAAGGGCTATTTTTATACAAGTTGTAGCCATATCTCTCTGCTTGTAAGCATCAGATGGCTACCCAGAATCTGGAGGAACTAGGCCATCCTTCTAATTATGATGATGCCTAGAACGCCTTTGAACAGGTGGAAGAGTAGAAATGCCTTGAATTTATATTTTGTGACACCTCACTTATTGAGAAGTCACTTATCCAGCCATCTAAACTATCTGGATCACAGTTGAGAACAGAAAACATGTCAAAAAAATAAAGAGCCCTGTCACAGATGTGACAGAGTCCATTCACGAAAGGCTTGGGTCTTCTCTCCAGGCCTCCTGACTCCTGTTTTGGACACAGTTCTAACATGTGGGGTGGTCTGGTTTCTGGCCCTTTGGAAATTAGAAGAAGAAGAATGAGAAGAAAGGAAAATTTGTAGAGGTAAGTGTACTGAAAATACATTATTTTCACAGTGAGGGAGGACAAAGAAAAAATGTAAAAAGCAGACAAAGTAAGTCAAAAAGTATAAGTAGGGACATAAACTGTAGGGACACAATCCTATCCTCAATCACAGTCATTTCTGTGGCTATGAAATAAAAATTGCTATACATAATGAAGGCTGAGTCAGGAAGATGATCCATTATCCTCAATAAGGCATTCTCATGGCTCAGTGTTTGAGTTCAGACTCTGGAGCCAAAATGCTTTGATTCAAATCCTGGCTCAGTCACTTACTAGCTGTGTGACTTTAGGCAAGTCACTTAATATCTCTGTGCCTCGATTTTTTCATCTGGAAAATGGAGATAATAATAGTACTTACTTTGTAGAGTTGTTGTGAGAAGTAAGTTAATGTACGTGGAACATTTAGAAAAGTACCTGGCACAAAAACACATTATTATTTGGTACATTTTGCTTAAAAAGACGTTTTTTAAAAAATCACTAAAAATGCTAAGAGAAAAACTGAAGGTGCTTAAAGAGAGAAAATTCCTTTTCCTAGGATATTCCATGTATGGATTCCAAATAACACCTTAAGAGTGTGTTGTATTTTTATACCAAAAAGTTAATGCATGTAGAAATAATATTTTCAATTATTTAAAAATAATGTTTGAAGCAGTTTATTTTCAGATAGGTTAGGAAAAGGATTGTTTCCAAATAAGGCATCATAAAGTCTCTTTTTATAAGGATCCAGTTTTGAATAATATGTTAACATAGGTACAGAATCAGAGAACTTAAGATCCGGTAAAAATCAAGAATGATGTCAAAAGTTCTATTATTTCTTTTAATCCTCATAACAATCCAGTGAGAGATGGAAAAATAAGGCTCATGTTTATAAGAAAACCACCTTATTTGATCCTCAGTTTTCTCATTTATGAAATAGTGATAATAATATCCACTTCACAAAGTGTGTAAGGATATCACATGTAAAGCTTATTCTTTTTCTTCTCCCCATCATGTTCCTCCTGACAAACACATTTCATTTAAAATGACACCATTCCTACCTCAAACTATCCCAAAAAATCAACTCGGAATGGATCAACAACCAAAATATAAGAGTTGAAACCATAAAACTCTTAGAAGAAAACATAGGTGTAAATCTTTAGGACCTTGTGTGTGGCAATGGATTCTCAGATATGACACCAAAGCACAAGCAACAACAACAACAAACATTGGACTTCATCAAAATTAAAAACTTTTGTGCATCAAAGGAAAGTATCAAGAAAGTAAAAAGACACACTACAGGGGAAGTCAACACCACTGGACTAAACCAAAGCTAAGAAGTTTCCTGGATACAATCAAATACTTTGAGAGACAGAGTAGCAGGGGTAGAGGTCTGGGGACCATGCTTTCAGGGGACATCTAGGTCAACTGGCATAATAAAACTTATTAAGAAAATGTTCTGCATCCTACTTTGGTGAGTGGCGTCT